GGCCCTCCCAGTTTGGGGAGGGGTTGGGGATTGGAGCAGGTACTTGGCGGGTGAGGGTTGGGAAGGGTCAGAGTCTGGGGGGGCTCATTGCCGCTGCAAAAAATTATAAAAGCAGAGTCAAAATGCCTCGTCCAGCATTGTCACGTTTCCTGTTTTTGTTATCGGCATCGAGGGATACAGTTGGCTTTGGACTGCGAGGCAAAAAGGCAGCCAGGAACAAGTAGTACCGAAGCAATAAAGCAGGGACGACTCGCCTCATGGATGCCTGCGATCCCCCGATGTAGCAGTAGCTGACAACGGGGCTGAAGGCTCTGCGCAGCGCTGCCATGTTCACGTGGATATTCGCACCCGAGGATGGATATTCCCAACCACTTGCGTAAGAAGATTTTAGGCCAGAAAAATTTTCTGCAATTCGAGCCAGATCCACGTGATTATCATCTTTCATTATTCCAGCATCCATCAATTTGACTGCTGCTTCAGACTCAGTTTTGTTATAAAGTTTTTGCAGAATTTTTCAGAGCTTTTTTTTAAAGCTCGCTGAGCAATCGATGCCCATCAGCCAGCTTTTTCCATCGGTAAGTTCATAAATACCTACTTGGACGGGGGTATCCCCTTAAGATTTCAGCTTTCTAGCTTCTCAGATCCCCGAGTTATGAACTTACTCGAAAAAAATTTTGGCGGGTTCGTACGCGGGTAATGGCGCCAGTTTTGGCGATTGGGACCCGTACGTGCGTGTAGATTAAGTTCCCAAACTTTCAGCCCTGTAACTATTGTAGGTTTCGAGATGAAAAATCGGTTCAGAGGACCAGCGCACACACAGACAACCTCTCGTCAATGTGCATTTGCCGCATTGCATAGCTGCAAAAAACGCATAAAAAGTGGATTGAAAGTAATGTTAAAAGTGTTTTACCGGTTGAATAGATGAGATTCCTCTGGGGGAAAGATTTTGCGGAGCTGTATTTGAAAAAACGGATGACAAAGGGAAATAAAATAATCTATAAGCGAAAAAAGATGCGCTAAAAGTGGATGTAGCAATAGCAGCTGGAAACGAGAAAAAAGCATGGGATCTGAAGAAGTAGCAGAGATTGAAACGACCATAGAAAAGGGACTGAAGAGAGATTCGAAAAGATTCGGCGAGCGGGGTGAATTCGGTGAGCGGTTTGGGTGGGAAAAACGTGCGAGAAAACACTTCGTGGTGGGTTTAGGGTTCAAGTTGCAAAGGGCGCAAATAGAGCCATGTTCAGCTTAAAAATGGATTCACGGAGCCCCGTAGTACCACGGGATTGCTGGTAATATCGATGCTCTTAAATACTCTTGAGTAACTCCTAGCACGGTGAAGACGGATCGTAAAGAAACACAAAACATGCAATATACACAAAGAATTTTGCTCGAGAAGACGTGAAATTTTATTCAAAAATTGATTGCGGCATAAATATCTGTGTATTTCCCGCATCCCACTCATATATTTATTGTTCATAACGTATGTATTTTACATATATTGCCAGCTGTTTACCAAGGAAAAGTAATCTGATGACTTAATCACTGGATGTAAAACACATACGTTATGGGCGACAATTGGGTGGATTAAGCGAAATACAGAAATATTTGTGTAATTCAAAATGCACATATAATCGTGCGTACAATCAGTGCGGAGTTTTGATGTCAGTGATGTTACTGGGATGCTCCATGAGTGCCTATGCGAAATATTCCCACGATTAGCAACGACTGCAAGAGCTAGTTATTTGTAGTATTTGTAAAGTCGTATATTCAAACTAGTATATTTATAGATTTTTGTCGATTTACTTTTGTTTGTTGAACAGACTTTTTTTTTCTCTTCAACAGCTCAACGAACAAAATGTGTCGCAGTGCTTGTGTTCTATGTAAATATTGGTGTAAAACGATAAACCAACAAAAACGAGCAAGACAACACGCACATTTAGAGATATTTCATAATGCAAATCCGGATTTGTAGGCAGAAACTGGAGAACAAGCTTTTTTTAGTTTTTTTCTGAAAAAATACGAGTTATAAATCATTTATATAAATCTTATTCACTGATTAATTCAAATAAATATGATTAGCAAGACCGCTTGAATTTCAGGCATGTGTGGCCATTAAAGTTTGTTCAACTGTTTTCTCACCGCTGCAGCTGACAACTTCTCCATCCCTCTCTCATTCACATAATTCTATAGAGCTGTTCAAGCGGATCCTTCCACCGCATTGGATGGTCTCCCTTGTGTGTGTGTTTTTTTAACATTTCCTGGGTATTATTCAATAATTTTTAATCAAAAAAGCTGACACAGTTATCAGAACGAAATCACGTAGCATTTCAAATGAAACTAATTTAGGCGCTTTTATCAGTTTTCTATTCCCTCGCCCCTCCCCTCTGCTATTTACGTCGTACGTTTGTTTTTCGATTACCATAAAGATATTCGTACGTGACATTGATTGGGAGAATACAGCAGAAGTATCTAGGAATTTTTCTGTCGCTGTTTAAATCACTGGCATACATGGAAGTGACTGAAAGGTGTCAATGAGACGCCACAATATCCCGAAGCGATAAAACAATTGTTCCAGTGCGATAAAAAATGGAGATATGTCGTTGAGATAATGAAGATATAAAAAGGGATAACGGTGCCCTCT